GATGCGGGACTCGATCCAGGGACTCCAGGATCATGACCTGAGCTGAAGGCAGTCGCTTAACCAACTGAGCCACCCAGGAGCCCCTAAAATTCACATTTTGTAAACTGATTTACTCTTCGTAGCAATTCAGATAAATAATTTATTGAAAATCTCACTATTAGTAAGTGTTGGGGCCCCAATCAAAACCTAGATCCCTTATTTTCAAACTCCTTACTCTTGCATGCTACAATTTACTTTTAACACAAAAAGTATATTTATTGAGGTGATTTTAATTCTTGAATGTGTGTGTCATGATTCATATGCTTTTTATGCCTGTTCAGCTTTTTTTTTTAAACTATATATTATACTTACTGATACCCTTGTCATAGATCCATAGTTTTGAGAAAGGGAAACATAATCTTCTAAATTTATTTGGTGACAAAAACAAAAAATGAAAAATCAGAGAGCTTTATTGTATACAGTTATTTTGAAGGAATCTTTTCTATAGAGGAGGAGTAATATTGCTGACATTTCCATCTTTGGGAATAGTGTGATTTAGGTTTTACGTGCTTTAAAATTCTTAAGCAAATGTTTGTAAATATAAAAGTCACTAACATCCACCGCTCTTTTTTTCATTCTCTTTGACCTCTCCAGGATCTGATACTAATGTCCATGCTTCCCTTTGAGAACCACTCTCCTCAACTGGCTTATAATACACCTGCACCCTGGTTTCCTCAATATATTTGATCACAGAACAATTTAAAAAATCATAATGAACTGTTGGAAGCCCAACAGGAGCTCATGAGCTGTAAGTGCTTAAATTTAAAGCAAACAGCAAAAATGATCTCATGGATGAGTTATTACAGGAAGTGATCACATTTTTATTCATAGTCTGTTTCACTTTATACAAGAATAAACAAAATGTGAGAACTAAAATTCATTTTACCTTATTAAGGGATCACCTGGTGCATCTTATTCTTAATAAGGTAAAATGGATTTAAATTATCAAATTTTGGTTTAATATTTTATGCAATTGATTTTAAATTTAATAATACATTATTATATTATTCTTGATAACAGAAAATATAGTACATAGATGTTTATCTCATCCATATTAAAAACAACCTAATACTCCATTATATGAATATCTATAATTTACTTAGATAAATTATCTCTGTATTTGATGGCCAGGTAGGTTGCTTTTAGGCTTTTGCTAGAATAAACACTGTGACCATACACATTCTTAGTACTTGTCTATTTGTACATGGGGGAACATTTTTCTCCGATACCTACGTGTTACATATTACTATCTTCAAGGGTGTGCATATTTATTTTTTTTTCTTTTTTCTTTTATTTTTTAATTTTTTTTAATTTAAAGGGTGTGCATATTTAATAGCTACTGCTGAACCAATTTACACTCAAATCTAAATTGTGTAAGACTACCTATCTCCTCCCACAATCACTAACCCTAGATATTATTTGTCTCTTCAATTTTTGCCAAGCTGATGGGTAAGTGTATCTTGTTACTCTTTGATTACTGGTAAGATTTCATTGTTTTATGATATATTGTGATCATACTCTATGTGATTCTGCATGCCTTTAAAATTAATATTGTATCACAAGCATTTTTCTCATGTTATTATACTGAATTATTTTCCAGTCTCTGTTGACACACAGACAAGAACATAGCTAATTCTTGTCAGTTTTTTTTGGCCTTAAAACATGTTTAATCAGGCAGCTAGCATATGTCTGTTGCCAGTATGTAACCCCTGGAGATGAACAGGCTTTTAGCAAGAAGTAATTTAGACATGTTTAAAAAGATTTACAAGCCAAGCTTTTTCTCTCTTGGTTTCTGTTTCTGTAGCAATTCCAATGGCGTGTGTTGGACAACATTCCACTAAGGGCTGGAGGCTGTAGTTCAGTTACCCAGGTGGTGGTTTGCCAGTGGGACCCTGACTGTGGTCTGCCTCACTGCTGTGGGAACTCCATGCTACATTGTTTCATAATGTGCTCTGTGGTAGAGATCTTCTGTTGGCACTCAATCCTCAAATTCCTTCTAAAGTGATTTCCTGTACGACAGAGCCTGGAAGCTAAACACTGTAATTCTCAGCATCCCTTGCAGGTCTCCTTCCAGGTAAAATTAGGTTATGTCAATTCCATGTGCTAGTTTTAGATTTCAAAGGTAGAGGTGTGTTGGAGAGCATCTTCCTGCATCTTCAGCTGTTAAGTTTTGAGACAGCCATGCTCTGATGTCTTATCCCCAGCTTTACAGGTGTCAGGAGGCAGTTTCGGCCACTTACTGATCCCTGGATCAAAGCAAGAGTAATTCAATGGCAGTCTTCTGATGGCTCCCCTTTCTTATTATGACACAGGATGAGTTCTCCTGGAAGGATGCTTAGTTCAGCAGCGTCATTCTCAGAGTTATTCCTAGAGGCCCAGTCCAGAGCTTGTTTGTCCAACCTTCAGCTTTGTAAGCACCTAACTCCCTGTGGGAAATATCTTCTGCTAAAATAGAGTGGTTTCTGTTCCTGCAGTTGAACCCAGGCTGATACCATTTCTGTTCTTATAATCACATTTGAACTGTATTACTACATTGAAAACGTAAAATAAAATTTTTTTCTCATCTCTGATAAACATCATTCTATAATTTTTAAGTGTCCTTTGTTTTAAAAGTTTACGCATTTGGTCAAGTTGCTAACTTTGTGTACTGGAAAGAGCAGCCATAAGTACAACACACATATATTTTTTTAAGATTTTATTTATTTGTTTATTTATTTGAGATAGAGTGAGAGAACACAAGCAGGGGGAGGGGCAGAGGCAGGGGGAGAAGCAGGCTCTCTACTGAGCCCCGACCTGGGGCTCGATCCCAGGACCCTGAGATCATGACCTGAGCCGAAGGCAGATGCTTACCCGACTGAGCCACCCAGGCGCCCCTATGACACACATTTTAAATATATTTTTATATAAAAATATGATAGCAAAGTTCTAGGAAGATTAAAAATAGGGCAAAACTCATAATTCTGATGGGCATTTTGAGGATTATATTCATAGATAGATGAATGATAGATGATGGCTAGCCCGAGAAACCATCTAGTAGAATTGTTAAGAGAGCAAGAACATTGTATCAGATTAACTTTAGTTCAAAGCCTGGCTCCAATGCTGGGCAGCAGCAGAGGTTTGGGTAAGTTTTTAATTCTCTCTAAGCCTCAGTTTTCTCATCCAGAAAATTGGGCTAACACTAGCACTCAATTCATACAGTTGTTATGTAAATGAGATAATATATGTAAAATTCTTAGCATAGTGCATGGCATATATAGATTAATAAATGGAAACTATCATAGGGACATATATATTTTTTGCATAATCTACTGAGAACACAAGACTATTAGGACAAGGATTCTAAAATTTTCTGGCAAGGAAACTATACTTACTGGTTTCTATTTTTAGTTGTTTCTCTATATTATTTCATCTGATCTATGGTATGCTGGCTGCCTTCCTCCAAGATTCATCCAAAATCCCCAAGGAAATACTAGAGGATAAAAGAAATTACCTTCAAATGTATTCAAAACTTACTAATACTTGCTAATTCTGTACAGGATATATTTAAAATCTGACTAGTAGCGTTGAGCTGCCTTTGGGCTTTCATTAAATTGCCGGATGTGTCTGGGGACCCGTGGTCTTGAGGATCAAGTCCAAGCTGCCAGTGCACAGCTGGATGTGGTAGCCTAGATTCTGTCTGAACTGTCCTTGACAACGACCTCATCCCAAGGTGAACACAGACCAAAGTCAGAATAAACTATTTACCATTAAATGAAGAATTACCATGATAAAACTGAAGGCGTTGGAGAACCCCCAAGCTGCTAGGGAATCTGGGGCCTGGGGAGCAGGACCAAGGGCAGGGGCAGGGGCTCCAGCAGCAGGCAGCTGTTAGAATCTCATTTGGGAGGTAAAGGAACTGGATGGGCTGATGCTGTTTCCCAAGGACTGGCCCATTTCCCCAAAAGAAGGACTCTTCTGAGTAACTGGCAACTGAGAAAGCAAAAGTTTATTACCACAAGGTTTAAAATTCAGAGAAAAAAAAAAGGAACAGTATTATAGTATTTAGAGATATAATGAGAAATTGCTCCTTATTAGAAGATATTGGGTTGAGCTATTCATATTCACATTTTGCTGTTTTGGATTGTCATAGTCTTCCAGGTGTCTCCTAGGGTCCCTGCAATTTGAGAACCATTGGTCTTCTATATGTATTTTGACAACTGACCACAGAGACAATTCAGTTTTTTAAGGAATCCTAATTATTTTGCCAGTGTCTTTCTTTAATTTTTTTTAAATTATAAAAAGAATGTAATTTCATTGCAGAACATTTGGGCTATGCAGAAAAGTAGAAAGAAGAAAAATCATAGTACTCAAAGGTACCTACTTTGTTTTTTTTTAAATACATTTTTTACCTGACATCCATTCATACTGTCAACAACTATCTTCTTTTATTTAAAAAAAACTTAATATCACAGAAGACATTTCCCTATGTCATTAAAACTACTTTTAAGCAGGGGCACCTGCGTGGTGCAGTCAGTTAACACGGCTGAGTCTTGATTTCAGCTCTGGTAGTGATCTCAGGGTCATGAGATCG